CGCCCCCCCCGACCCCGGGCCTGTTGCTCCCCTGTGAAGTCAGGGCTGTGCAGTGCACAGCGGTGTGTCTGAGAGCCACGTCCGCAGAACATCTGAGTGACAGATGTCAGCCTCGGAGCCGAGGCAGAGCCTGGAGGAACCGACACCGGTCCCAGGGCCAGAGGCCCCCAGAGGCTCTCAGTGGTCGAGGGAGGACCCAGCCCCACCCCCACACACCCGCCTGCAGAAGTGACAGACACGCACCAGGGCCGGGCGACCCTCCATACAACGGTGACAGGCGCACAGCCGACAGTCAAAATATGTAAACATAAGCGGCCTCTCTTGTCAACAGACAGACGCCGACACAAATACACAGGAAGCTCGATGACGGGCGCACCTGCAACACAGCACGGTCACACACTCCTTAGCCCAGCGATGGCGAACCTTTTGAGCTCGGCGTGCCAGCATTCTGAAAAACCCTAACCTAACGTAACTCTGGTGCCGTGTCACATATAGACATTTTTTGATCTTTGCAACCACAGTAAAACAAAGACTCATATATTTGATATTTATTTTATATATTTAAATGCCATTTAACAAAGAAGAATCGACCAAAAAAATGAGTTCGCGTGTCACCTCTGACACACGTGTCATAGGTTCGCCATCACTGTCCTAGAGCATTCCTCAGTCCTATTTGGGGAAACCCAACCCTCTCCATTTAGAAAACAAAGCCCACGACGCTGAGTCAGGGGAAAGCCTGGTCTGATATGATCACAGGTGACCCCGCAGGGTCTGCCCGGGAGTGCGGCCGGCGGCCCGCTGCTCACCTGGAACGTGGTGAGCTGGTGCATCAGGGCGTTCCGGATCGTCTGGATCTGAGACGAGATGACGGACAGCACAGAAGCGTCGATCCGGTTAAACTCGTCAAAACAGCCCCAGGCCCCACACTGAGCAAGGCCAGAGAAGATCTTCCCGACGGCCTGGAGCGGACAAGGTCAGGACAAGGGGTGTTCATCTTTAACGTGGCGGGTGGCACGCCATGGGCACCGCTTCTACATTACCACGGACACTCCCCAGAGGGACAGGGAAGCAGCCAGCTGGCCGCCCCCCTCATGGATCTTTCTGGCAAGACTTCCGAGGCCCCTCGCGGCCAGCCCCCACTCCCAGGACTTGACAAATTAGGAACTGGGATGGGAAACTCCAGGTTTCTGGAGAGTTCTTCAAACACGGAAAATCTAGCAGCACTGGGTCCACTTCTCCAAGTGGCTACAAGGAACCAGAGCTGGACGGTGGCCCCTTAGATTGAGCTGTGCTCAGTGGGCCACAGTCCCCACCCTGCTCTACTGCCTGCCAGCTGCCGCCGTCAGCATCTGCCTGCCTCTGCCTCTGCTGGGCACTGAAGTCCAAGACACTGCGCCACCTGCTGCTGACAAAGTGGAGCCTGCCGGTCCCGAGGCCGCGGTAGCACAGGTTTTCTCCCACACCCCCGCTGTCCCCACGCCATGGCATGGCAGTGCGTGGGCTGAGCCTTCCTGCGGTGCCCGCCCTCCCTCTCTGTCCGACGAGATGGCACCGGAAGGGGTGCCACGGCCTTACTTTGTAGTCCATGCCTTCGCCGCAGTTGGTTACAACACAGAGCAAGCCCAGGGCTTTGGCCAGGTCCTTGGTGGTCTCGGTTTTGCCAGTCCCTGCGGGGCCAGCAGGGGCCCCGCCCAGATACATGGACAGCGCCTGTGAGAAGCCAAATGCAGACACGTGTTATCTGCCTCGTGCGAGGAAACACGTCGTGTCCCCGTCCAGCACCGCAGTCTGAGGCGCAGGGGGCGCAGGTCCTGGCCCCGCAGATGCAAGGAAGGATCTGTCTGCTCTGCTGCCTCCGAGCACCCCGATCGTGGCTGCGTCAGTCGGTCCCTGCCTCCGCCTCCACATCCTCCTCCCGCCTCGCGTGCCCTCCCCGCGTCGCACCAGGACACCAGGCGCTGGATTGGGCCCTAACCCAGGAGGCTCTCCTCCCAACCCTTTAGCACTAAATCTGCATCGACCCTATTTCTAAGTAAGGCCGCATTCTGAGGCTCCGACGGACATGAATCCTAGTTCATGCGCAGCGCTGGACTCGCTCACAATAGCTAGGGCCACGCGTAGGAAAAACACAGGCCCACACGCAACGACAACCACGGGAGCCGGCCCGCCGGCAGCCGGTCACCTGCGTCAGCGTCAGGTAAATGCGGTCGGTGAGGGGCGTGATGACCAGCCGCCCGTTGAGCCCCATGTACTCGTAGCCGTAGCCGAAGGTGCCCGTGCACTGGCGGATGTTCAGCTCGTCCGGCTCTCGGTCCCAGTAAAAGCGCAGCTGGCTTTCCCATTCGAACTCCTGGGCGTCGAGGATGCTGGGAGGCGAGATGGAGCGGGTGAGGAAGAGGGAGGCGGAGGTGGTGGAGGAAAGGCGGACACCGAGGGGGCAGGAGAGACGGTGAGAGGGCCGCGGAGGAAGGCCTCGTGGGAGACACCGGAGGCCTACCTGCCCCGGATGAAAGAGTCCACGATGTCCCGGGCGTGCACGTCGATGATGAGCTCCGTGTTGTACTTCTTGCGGTCGTTCCTGCCTAGCTGCAGGGTGATGCGCGTGACCAGCTCGTCGATCTGCCGGTGCATCTTCCGGCCGAAGCTCTTCATGGCGTGCTTCTCGCCCGCCTGCACCTGGTGGAAGACGTCCTCCACCTCCCAGGTCCACCACACCTGGCAGGCGGCCAGCACCACCATGCCCTGGTACAGCAGCATCCAGTCCACCCTGAGGGAGAGCGCCGCACTCAGACCGTGGCCTGCGGTGCTCGGCACAGTCCCTGAGGACATCCTCTCTCAAAGGGAAAGATTCAGGCAAGTGCACGGTGGCAAAGCTCGCCTGGCAAGACAGGAAGCCCAGCCGGCGTGGCTCATGAACCAGGAGGTCATGGTTCCATTCCCAATCAGGGCACAGGCAGGGTTGTGGGCTTCATCCCCAGTGTGGGGCGTGCAGGAGGCAGCCAATCAACGATTCTCTCTCATCATTGATGTTTCTATCTCTTTCTCCCTCTCCCTTCCTCTCTGAAATAGAAATACATTTTTTAAAAATAAAAATAAGTAAGTAAATAAATAAATAAATAAATAAAAAGCCAGGAAAATGCCAGGCCAATACATGCATGCCAAGGTGGGGGGTGGGGGACTTTGGGTGCAGAAAGGGGTGGCGTGGACATTTCTCAATTAATCTAGCTGCATCCCCTTCTTGTCCACCAGCCAAGCACCAGGACACAGCGCCGCCCTGGTGGAGGGCAGTGATGATGCAGATGAAACCAAAACAGGCTTAAAATTCCTGCAACTGGGATCGTGAAAGACTTCCCAGTCACTGCTCCAGAAGGGGGTGATGCCTGTCTAGGTGAGCCTTTTTTTTTTTAATATATTTTTATTGATTTCAGAGAGGAAGGGAGATGGAGAGAGAGATATCAGTGAGAATCATTAATCAGCTGCCTCCTGCACGCCCCTGACTGGGGACAGAGCCTGCAACCTGGGCATGTGCCCTTGACGGGAATCGAACCTGGGACCCTTCAGTGTGTAGGCCCTAACCAGCCAGGGCTAGGTCAGCTTTTGAATGTCGTCTCGAACAGTGCTGAGCCCAGAGCCAGGGCCCACAAAACAACAGCTGAACAATGGAGCCATAATGTACGAGGCGCCTCCTATCCGCTCACAAGAGCTAACTGTCCTGTGGTCAGGAACTTTGCAACGTCAGTCAATCTACCCCAAGCCCTTCACGTGACTCCATCGTGACTCTCAATGTGATGAAGGAACACGTGTTCGCCGCGCGGCCTTACCTGCTCCTGTCTTCACAGTATCTAAAAATAGCCTCTTTGGTGATCAGCCGGTTGGTTCTGCGCATTTCGTTCAAAACTGCGGTCATCCAGTCCTCCACGCGGCCCTCGGCCCGCACGGTCTTGCGGAACTCCATGACCTCCCCTTCTGCGGAGATCATGGCGGACACCAGCTTCTCCCCACTGTCCCCGTCCTGGAAGCGCAGCGCCGCTATGTTGTCATACATCTGCAACACAACAGAGACGCCCTGTGACACCGGCGCCGAGCTCTGCAGCTGAAGGGCAGCCTGGAGGGGCACACGAAACGCATGACCCTTCGCCCAAACGTCTGTTCACAGGATAAATACACATACACGGGTCCTTCCGTGTGTCCTGCGCTGTGCAAAGGTCTGCGGTAAAAGAAAGAGCCCTAGCCAGCTGCTCCGTGGCTAGAGCCCTCAGACTGGAGGGCACAGGTTTGATTCCCAGTCAAAGGCACATACCTCGGTCGCAGGCTGGATCCCCAGCCCAGATCAGGGCATATGTGGTAGGCAACCGATCGCTGTGTTTCTCATCGATTTTCTCTCCCTCTCTCTCTCTCCGCCTTCTCCCTCCTCCCACTCTCTCTAAAAAATCAGTGGAAAATATTCTCAGCTGAGGGGTAAGCAAACAAAGAAAGAAAGAGGAGACAGACTCTCTCCCCGCATCTGAGATTCTGGAGTAGGTGCTGGAATGGAGAGAGATGTGGACACATGTGCGAGCTGAACACAGGAGAGGGAAGAGCCAGGGGCTGAAACGCCCGAGGGCTGAAGAATGAGCCCTGACTGGGTCACGTGGGCAGCTGCTTCTCCTCTCGCAGCCGAACAAGCACAGCAACGGCCCTGGGAAGACCCACAGACCCCGTGCGAGAGGCCGGCACATCGCCCGTGTTCGCTGGCTGCCGTCGCTGCCATTCACCGGAGTCACCCGGTCCCCAGGAAAATGAGCTTTTTAGGGCCTAACACATACAACCAGCAGCGCTTCATCTTAAACCTCTGGGCGGAACTACAGTGTGAAGAGAACGCGGGGAAAACAAACCGCAGGACAGAGCCCATGCAGGCCCCCTCCCACGCCCCCCCCCCCCGGAGGCCTGGCCGACCTTGATCATGTGCTCCTGGACACAGAGCGGGTCGCTGCTGCCCAGGATGCTGAGCAGCTCGTCGTCGGAGATGAAGAAGAAGCGGGGGAAGGCGTTGCGCTTGGAGTCCAGGTAGTCGTTCAGGCTCTTCTGGCACTTCTCCAGGCCCTCGCTGATGTGCTGCAGGTCCGAGAGGCGGTTCGGGGCCTCGCAGCATCGCTTGATCACGGGGTCTTTCAAGGTCTCGCCCATGATCTGCGCCAGGTCAAGAGGACAGAGGTCAGGCACTTGCCTGCGCCCCGGCTCGACGCACCCCAGGACCCACGGTCTCTGGGGAGGCCAGTTGTCATGGGCAGTTTCCCTTCCACAACCTCCTGCCAGGCATTCATCCTGAATGTGGGAAAGCATCAGGCACGGCCTGCGAATTACCGACGAACCCCAAGAACCCGGTGCCCACAAAATGTCCAGCCACTAGACAATACAGAGAATGTCAAGCCACGCCCATGGGTAAAGGCATTAAAATACTTCCTCGGTTTCGTGGTATGAAACACATTTCTCCATATAATATGTCCTAAATTATGGCATAGAATTATACAAAGTGTCATCTGTAATTGCATCTTAAACCTATCTACAGAGAAGAAGACTTTTTTTAACATGACATAAAAGTGGCCACGTACAAGGGATGGGACTATGGGAAGAACTGTGGAAGATACATCTGTTCTACATGTTCCAGCTGTTTTTTTGAAAGCAAGTGTTACTTTTATAATAAGAATAAATAAATACTAAGAAGAGCCATCTGCCAGCAGCTGCAGCTCAAACAGGAGCTGTCACAGGGCAGATGAAGGTCACACACAACGACAGAAAGAGCTCAGAAGCTGTGAATAGTCGGGACACCCCGTGGAAGTGCGCGGGCGCCTCGAGCCCCTTCGGCCACTTGCCCTTTTAAACACTTTGTCGATGTTGTCGAACTTCTTCGCCTCCTCCGGCAGCTGCGAGCGGATGTCTCCTCCGATGAAGATGCTCTCCAGGTACATCCACTTCCTCTGCACCAGCATCCAGATCTGCGGGCACAGTGTGACCGTGGCCCGGGCGCCCCGCCGCCAGGTCGTGGGGCACCACCCCACCCCGCCGCAGCCTGGGAGTTTTACGGGCTGTGAATGCCGTGTCCATGAGAACATTTAACCAGCAAAGGAAGCATCCGGCTGCACCCCACCCTCAGCGGTGGGGCCCGCTCTCCGCCTGCTCCCCGCCCGCTCCCTGCCCGCCTGCGGCCTCACCTCGATGACCTCGCCGATCAGCGAGAGCGTCTTCTCCCACTTGTGCACCGTCTGCAGGAAGGGCCCCACGAAGCGGCTGCCCGAGATGCTCTGCAGGTTGAACGTGTTGTCGTCGAGGCACTGGATGATCTCGTCCACGGACCCCAAGATGTAGCCGCGCTCCTGGGTGCCCTTGAAGTACTTGACCACGGAGAACTTCATGTTCTCCCACGTGTCCAGGATCTCCTTCACGGCCTGCC